TTGCCTTGCATTTTCTCATTTATTTGTTGGAGAACTTTCTTATTATAATTACCAAGACCCATTATCCAAAAATCAGTGATCATTGATTTGTAATCGGTAGATAAACGTTCTAATTCAGACGTTGGATAAATTTGAGGTTCTCCATCCGTTAGAAAGATGATTGTTTGTCGAAGACTATTGCATGTTGAATCATTCTTGATTCCGTCCAGCGTTTCGATAAGCTTAGCAAATGCAACTGAAAAGTTAGTACCTTGACCACACATTGACATCGGTATATTAAGCCGATCCATATCAATGTGATTTAGTTTTTCTCGATTATAAATTCGTGTCGCACTATTACCAAAAACAATAATGGTCATTTGATCAGTATGACATACTTTTTGAATTCGAATGTGAATAAATTCTCTTACAGCTTTAAGCAAATGTTCCCATGGACTCAAATCTATTTGATGAGAATCACTCGTTGTAGTAGTAGTCATGCTGCTCGGTATCAATAGACGAGATATCTGTTTAAAAATTGAATCATTCATAGAACCGGAATGATCGAGTAGAAGAATAAAATGATTGACTGGAATTCCATATATAGGTATAGGGCGTTTTTTGAGTTTCTCGAATTCTCGGATCACCAAAATCGCAATTCGTATGAGCATTTTTGAAATCTAACCATGTCTGTCGTCCATCTCTACTAGTAACAATAGGATCTTCATCTTTGATTATTTCACACCATACTGTCGATGCTTCATTGATTATTTCATATCGTACGCCACCCATACTTCGAATCTGATGACCAGATTGACATCAATGTCTATTCTCTTCTTGACCCACAGGCGTAGCATTGTCCAATCGATGATCAATATTACATAAACGCTTACAACAAGGACACTTTTCTTGACAGCCATGTACTTGAATAAGTTGTCGTTCTCGCGTATTACGGCAACTGTTTTCAATAAAAGTAGTCATGCAATTTGGTAGGGTTTGTTCCATGGTTGTTTTTTAATTGATGATTTTATCGAGAAAAAAGTCAATGTAAGTGATCGTATACGTTTCAAATATTGTCTTCATTGAACAAAATATATCTTTCAGTTGATCGCTTAATTTCGGTATATTATTGATAATTTCTTGTCCCTTCGATTGAACTATATAAGTCAAACCATTTTTAATAGTTATCTGCGTCGAAATAGATTCACCTGAAAGATATTGATAAAGAAGTGTAGCCATACATAATTTCTTATCGAATAGATTCTGATCAGTATCGTTACTCGATGGTTCGAATAGATCATCGACAAAAGTCAATGAATCTCCATCTTTTAATCTCAATGCAATTTTGATTGCTTCTACGATGCGAAAGAATTCCGTTACTATTTCTAAATGTGAATTCATCCTGATGTTGCGCTGTTGATGGATTATTGTTTTGATTTTTTCCCATTGTTGATTAAATCGTTCGATAATTACTTGTATTGGATAGAGAACATAGCGCAGAAGCCAATCATTTGTAGCTTCGTACACTTGATCATCGAGCTGGGTGTGGGTGTGGGTGTGGGTGGACATGGGGGTGTGAATCTGGGTTCTTCTTCAAATACATCCACACCCACACCCACCCAATTGTTTTTTGATAGAAATATCAGATGCGGACATATAATCAAATAAAAATCTTTTACTTGATTAGAGTTTTTTATGAGACTTAATTTTATGTATATGTCAGAGAAACATGTGTCTCTTTTTAATAAAATACAGATTATTAAGTGATATCTGCCTATTCTTAGTTATGTATCTGTTTAGCTTATTTGTTTCATAGAAAGTTTTTCATTTTAAAAATTTTTGGTTTTTTTTCATTATATTTTTTTTTACACTACTTTGCGTTCGCTCAGTTGTCGTAGTTCAACTCAGTGCATATAAAGTATCGATCAACCAAGTATAAACTATTCTGCTTTTCATGGATTAGTTGATTATGAACTGTGATAGTTATGATTATTGCATGTATGATACTTTGCATCGAATTTTCTGTTTTAAATAAATAAATGATGTTTGAATATGTATTTATAGATCGAATATAAAAAAAACGAGTTGTTACAGTGGAAATAGGCTCTTATTTTTCTTTGATCAAAACTTTGTAATGAAATTTTGCAAATTGTTTTTTATCTTGCATGTTTGAGTCGAATAACGACGCTTTGATTAAAAGTACACTAGTGTGAAACTTGATTGGATTTTGACAACAAACCCTCTTGTTTTAATTACAAGATGGCTATTTGTTGTTATTGAACACTTCTGCTAATTAAAACTTTGTTACATTCTTATTTGAACTAGTATATATATATGCATAAAAGTGTTGAATTATATCAGTCTGTAGAATATTAAGATTGATTTCAATGGTGGATTTCTTTCGAATCATTTAGATTACGGGCCTTGATTCTCTGTACGTGATGGTTAACATTGAGCTAACGTATTTAGTTCTCTATGCGCCCAAATGTTTTCTCGAGAGTTATTAGGAGCAACTAAATGCTGCTTTTCTCTATAATGTTTTAGTAGCTGTCACAACTTTATTCCGTTGTAACGCTAGTGGTATAACTGTAGCTGGTACAACCGCCGTTTCGGATAGCAGCTCACAGAGACTCAACCAGCCATCCGATGTAACTGTTGATTCGGACGGTACAATCTACGTCAGCGATCGGTATAACCACAGAATCCAGAAGCGGGTTCATGGTGCAACCAATGGTAAAACAGTGGCTGGTCAAGCCAACTGTACTACTGGTTCTGGAGATGCCTTTTTGCAAGCTCCTCAATGTGTAGTCGTCGATTCTGACGCAAATCTTTATGTGCCAGACACTTTGAATCATAGAGTTCAATTATGGCCAAATGGTGCTTCTTTTGGTATAACGATCGCCGGAACAGGTTAGGAAACAATAGAATCACTAGTTCTGTATGACAAAGAAAGCAGGAAAGTTTTATTGCCTGACTTTATGGTCATCAGCGATGATTTCATGTTTTGAAATAGTGAACATGTATATGAGTACACATATAGAGTCAGTGGTCCTAATTCTGCCACAAAATTTTTGACTATGGAGTGGTTGATTTATAACTCGACTAGTTATCATCGTACAGGACTAATCATTATTTTCCTGAACAGAGTGAATATGTCTGCATCGATCCATATATATATTTGATCATATAAAAAGCAGTCTCTGGTCCATACGAACCATAACAACACTAGTATGGTCGAATTTTTTCCAAATTTTCACATGCTGATAATTGTGCCGTTAAGGATATGCTTTTGCTTCTATCTCTTCCATTCCTACGTCAAATAGAATGTTTTCAACATAGAACAAGATTTTATGAACAAGATTACGGAAAAAACGAATTGTACATAAAATCTTGTACTATGTTGAAAACATTCTATTTGACGTAGAAATGGAAAAGGTAGAAGCAAAAAATATCTTCAACGACACAATTAGCAACACTTGAAAAATTGAAAAAATCTCGACCCTACTAGTATTATTATGGTTCGCATGAAACAGAGGCTGCTTTTTGTATGATCAAATATATATGGATCGATGTAGACATGTTTACTCTATTTAGGAGACTAATGGTTAGTTCCGTACCATGATAACCAGGGTGTGGGTGTGGGTGTTAATATGAATGTGGATGCGAATATGAATACTTATTCCATTCAAATTCACACAGACATTCACTAAAGACATCTTTCCTCGTTCAAATTTCTTGCTTTACATGTCTATACATTGAGTTAAGCTGTATCAATTTAAGCAAGAAGCTAAATGAACGAAAATTGAGATCGGCTTAAGAAATTACAAATCGAACCGATCCCATTTCTGTTGTATAATACATGAGAGTCTTTCATATGAGATGTGTAGTGTTTATATTTCTGTTGACAGGTGTTAATGGTTCATCGAATAATCAACTAAATTTTCCATTTGATGTAGCACGTGATCCGAATTCTGGCGCACTGTACATATCGGATTCTTGGAATCATCGCATTATGAGTTATTTTGTAAATGCATCATCCGGTACTGTAGTTGCTGGTGGTAGTGGACCAGGAACAAATAATTCACAATTAAACTATCCTATCGGTATCTATTTGGACTTACCATCGAATAGTTTATTCATTGCCAATTATAATTCTAATAATGTTGTTCGTTGGATACTAGGTGCCAGTAGTTGGACACTAATTGCAGGTAGCCGCAGCGGTGCCAATGGTACTTCGTCAACATTGCTCTATCGTCCACTTGATGTTACAGTCGATTTTATGGGAAACGTTTACGTAGCTGATGCATTTAATCATCGAATTCAGTTTTTCCTAGCTGGTTCATTGAATGGTACAACAATTACTGGCGTTAGTGTAACTTTTGGTTCTGACTCTTTTCACCTTTATTATCCATATGCTGTAGCACTTGATTCACAACTGAATTTGTACGTGTCAGACTGTCTTAATCATCGAATTCAAAATTTCTACTCTATTGAAAAACATAACAATTTCATTATCTAATAACCTTCACAAAAATATTTAGATTTATGTATCAGTTAAAATTTCATGTATGAAACATTTATGAAATAAAACGTTTCTCTTCGGATTCTATCATTGACTTTTTGCTATCATTCTCATTAATTCTACAAATTACCAGAACATACGATGCACGGTTTCATTCAATATTGGAAATGTGCTCTATGCAATCGAAAAGCATCTCTTGTAATCTAGAACAAATGACATATAGCGAGATTGAAGAACAGTTAGATAGATATATATGGTGATATTTTGTTAAGATCTGTCATAAAAATCATTTTCTTTGAATTCCTAACGAGAATCATCTATTTTTATTTCGAACTTTCCACAAGTTATACTCACCATAATCATGAAACAGGGTGTGGGTGTGGGTGTGGGTGTGAGTGTTCCTCTTCTGTTTGATTCACATCCACACCCACCCACACCCATCTGGATCCTTAGTGTTGGATCTGATCGGAATCCGATTGAATCTCATCGTATGACCAGAGTGGCCTCTACTACTGGGATAAAATGATAATTCGTACTCAAATAAGAAAATACGATCCATTATCAGATTCATTCACCTGGATAAGACGCATGAAGAATGTAGAAATAAATGAAATTTTAGTCCTCTGTAAAATTCTTTTCAATGTCCTTATTTATGGTTCTCTAGATCATAATACCTTAGAGCAGACTATAATTGCAAGAGCTTCTATTATTATCGAGCTTTATCCAGTCATTTTGATCCGTTCATTTGAACATACAACACACTTTTCTTATTCTTTGAAATCATCATATAAATAAATATACTCAAATATTACATAAAACAAAACTAACATTCAACAAAAAAAAAGGCTCCTCTTATGATAAATATCAATAATTTTGTTTGATCAAATGCATTCCAAAACTAATAGAGAATCGTAATTTTAAAAACGCGAAGCATATCCCTAGTCGATGTACTTGAAGGCAAATACTTGGACAAGCACTAAGTCAGTAATGTCACTTGGCAGGAAGGAAAGCACATTAACAACTAACGTTCTGCAGGAAAAGAAGACGACTCAATGAAGAGAAGAAAGCGAAAATATATTATATATAGACGAGGAAGAAGACAGTGTATGCCTTCATCTCCTAACATTTTTGCAGATTTAGATATAGAGCTATGTTCTCTTTACGGTAACGAGCTTTTAAACAGCTCTGAGTTAAGTAATTCAGCGAAAAATTAAGAAATCTCTTTAAGTAATTACTTGTCTAGTACTTGTTACTAGTACATCGCCTAGGGTGACAACTCAAATTAGATCTGCAAGTGGATGGAAAGGTGTATACATCACGCAATAAAATAAGTAACAGTGTTGCATTTCTAAGATAGAATAGACAGGTTCGTAATCGACCGTGAACGGAGAAATACGATGTTTTGCATGACTCAGTATTTCAATCATATATCTCCATGACCGTATCTGAAGATGCATGATCGCATAAGGATCAATGCGAAGTAAACAGGCGACCATATACGGTATCGTGATACTAAGCCTTGTAAATAGCCAAAATACGATTGTATACGGGAAAATATGGAAAGTATACGGCCATTTACGGGTGTGTCCGGATTAATTCTTATTTTTCGTTCTGAATCGTCCTCATTCTGGTTTTCTGCATATAACCACTTGAGGAAGTGAAAGTCGTTCATGTCATGCATACGCAGTGTTGTATCACGTGCCATCTTCTCCATGCCGTTTTGATGTGCATATGTGCCAATGTCACGTGCAAATTGCACAACTTTTGATGATCGAGGTATTCTTTCTTGTTCATATTCACGAAATATAGCATTAATCTTCGATGGACCATGTTTCTTGTAGGCAGCAGTAAGTGCCCAAGCATCTTCCAGTGCTTGCGCAGCACCTTGTGCCGCATATTGTAACATCGGATGAGCTGCATCACCCAACAATACTAATCGACCACGACTCCATTTGGATAATGGATTTCGACTAGAAAGAAATATGATAATAAACATATGAATGAAAGAAAGAATGAAAAGATAACTAACTCATAAACTGGCCATCGAAAGTTGGTCTGAAGTAGTTCAAGAGCATTTTTTACATGTTCACATCCGACACCAAATGTCTCATTGAGTTCTTCTTTGGTTCCCCATCGATCTGTATCATCGGGCAATCGCTTTGATTTGAATACAGCTGCCTGATTGAATAGTTCACCTCGTCGAATTGGATATTGTACTAAATGCATATTAGGTCCCATCCAAAATTGAACATTTTCAAGACCAGCTTCTTTTGAGACTTGATCGATTTTAATAGTACCTCGATAGGTAACATATCCAACACTAATTGGTGGGCCATCATCACAAACAAATTTTCGTAAAGATGACCAAAGACCATCAGCTGCAACGACCATATCACAATCGTAACGCATTCCATCTGCACATTCGACCATTATCGATTTTGGTCGTTCATCGACACTCGTTACCGTACGATTTGTTTCCATTGTTACCATAGAACTTTCCAAACATGCTTGATGAAGAGCTTGAAAAAGATCAGCTCGATGTACAACTATATATGGATAGCCGAATGTTTTAATAAATTTTTTACCTAAATCAATACAAGTAAGACGTTCACCAGATAGAGCATCCATCCATACAATTTGTTTCGGAAAAACAGCATTAGCTTGCACTTTTTGTAAGATTCCAAGCCGATCAAGTAGACGACTACAGTTCGGTGCTAACTGCATACCAGCACCGACTTCACCTAATTCCGTATTTTTCTCTAATAATCTTACTCGTATTCCAGCTCGAGCAAAACTAAGAGCTGTTGCCATACCACCAATACCACCACCTACAATTAATATAGCTACTCGACGAGCATTCGCTAATGGATGTTGTATTTGAGTATTCATTAGAGTATCAGGACCTTTGAATATTCTTTCATTACGAAAATTTTTGAAGAAAAGTTGATAATCCCTTTCAGCAATTTCGGCATACATTATTGCAAAAAGACGAATTTCGTCGATCAATTGCCGTTGCTTGACATAAGAATTGAGTGATGTTTGTATAGCTCGAGTACAACAATCGGCATTGTTTTCTATCATTAAATTTGGCACATCTTGCATCGAACATACAGTGATTGGCGGTTGACAATGTAGATGAGCTGTAATAATAGCCAATTGTTCGGCAAGTATCATCAGACTCTTAACACTATCAATCGATTGCCAATCGATTTCATGCATCCTATGTTCAACTTTCAATGATCCAATGACTGAACATTGTTTTTGAAGTGGAAGTGGTTCCAATTGATGAGACTGTTTTATATCATGACTGATCTTCCGTATTAACATGTTTTTGCATGGTAATAAAACACTTCTGATATACTGTTGAGCAAAGACTTCAAGTATTTCACTTATTTCATTATCACTAAAACATTGGCGATAAGCAATAAGTGCAAGATTGGCTGCTAAACGTTTGAGATCCCATGTAAATGGAGCTAATTTCTTTTTGTGTTGTCGTACACTGAATACACGTTCACCACTTATATCATCGAGATAGTAATGAAATTGACCAATATGCAAATCACCATGAATAAGAGTCGGATCGGTTACTTCAAATTTTTCACTCTCATATTGATTATCTTCGTAGAAGAGAGCAGCATTATTCTGATAGAATACAATAGGATTTGCAGCAATACGTCGAAAATAAACATGCCAAGCTTTTGTTTCATATCGTTTACCTGCCATCTGGTATTTGGCAAACATACGAGCAAGATGTTCGAGACGTTGAATATCATTAATTTCGAGAATTTCATTGATCGATGTCGCACTGTGCATGCGGACATATTTAAAATTATCTCTCAATGAACTATGTTCTTCCATTGTTATTGCGATGGGAGTATTTTTATTTATCAAGTTGACACATAAATGGTTTATTATCGCTCTTTATATATATATATATATATATCAATTTTTTTCGATAGAAGAGCGACGACGACCTTGATTCACTACCGCTATTTCGTCAGGTTTTACCAAGCAACATGAGTTAAAGCGGAAATGATGAGATGCATGACTTTTGAGGACAATTTGATTACATTAGTAATGAAGATTATATCATACAATAAAAAATGTACTATTCCGATTTTTTTTCCTTTTTTCCAACGAGAATGAAAATTTTATACAATAAGCATAGACATGATGTCATGCATGTATGCACATGTTTATGATCTTCCTAAACAAGTATGATGCAGAAAAAACGACACATAGTACACTTTTCCTCCTACGAACTTTGTTCGATTCTTTCCAATTAATTACACTTCCCTCACCTTGACGTGTAATATATACAAAACCCACACAGTATGAGTGACTGTACAATAAAATTGAGAAAGAAAATCACGAGATTTTCACATGACTGCTTTTGGTATTCATATTATAGATTAGTTTGTTAATGCAATGAAAATAAAAATTGAAAATAGTCAATATCAAGAATCTGTCCTGAATAATAAAAAAACTTCGAACTGTAGAAATCGTGAGTAATATTGATGTAAACTAGGGTGTGGATGGGTGTGTGAGTATAGGTGTGGGTACAAAGTAGACTCACACCTACACCCTCTGTTGTTGAAGTTTTTACTTGTACCTTTCCTTTTTCGATACTTCAGTTATGTCAATTTTTCATTAGTGAGTTTACGAAGTCATGCCGGCAAGAATCAATACTGTGTGGAATTCTCTCTAAGCACTTGACTGAATGAAGTTCGAGAAAACCAACATATTTTAGGTCAATGAATCTATAGGAATCAAATTTCATGATTGCTTTTGTTTATTATACTAGACATAATATGAATATTAGAAAATATTATTAATTAACTTATTTCCATATGTTTGCCTTTTACCATACGAGTCTTTCTCGCTGATTATTATCATATTCGATTACTTACCTGTATCGTACACAAGCAATGAAAAACAACCGTGTTGACTTACCAAACGTATCGTGTAAAAATGTCGAGAACGATGGTAAATAACACAAGAGAAATCGATAGAATACCTGTAAAGAGCATAAATAAACGGAAGGAGAGAATGCAATTATAAACCACTGATATAACTTTTTTTCTACATGTATATATTGCAAGTGTATATTTATTTTTACTACTGTACACCAAAGAGTAATGTAGTGAGATTTGTTAACTTACAAGATAAAAAAATTTTACGGATCTATTCTATAAATATGAATGATTTGATTAGTAGTAATGTATGAAGAACGGTTTACATATTAAAAACTATCTTCTTTTTAATACTAGACATAAAGCAGATCTCTGTTACAAAAATAAGATATAAAAGATATGTCTACAACTAAACATTTTTATTCTTTTTTATTTGGTAAATTCATTACAATACTCTCTATCTATTATGTACATTCAAAGAAAAATCAATAAATGCAATTTTCTACACGTTTTTTCTTGAACTTGATTATTAAAATAAAAAACATGAATTTTTTTATATGGTGCGGCCAGCTTGGCTTTAAAATTTCATATCAAAGATCTTTGGAAAGAAAGCATTGACAGACTCGCCGTTTTCGAAAAAGAGTGTGGGTGTGTGTGACTCATCATAACAGATATCTTCACTCACGCTCACACCCACACCCACCCATACCTACACCTCACTACTCCCACACTCTTTTCTATCGAGATCTTATTAGTAGGAAATGCTAAAACAGTAATTCCATTTAATTACTTCTCCACACACTCATGATGTGCTACATTTAGATATAGCAAGATAACTCTCATTACAGGTAATTTTTATTCATCAACTCAACTTCTAAAGTGCGATACGCAAGCTCTTTTTTGACATGGCTATCTTTCGAAGTCTGTCTTTGCTCATGTCAGACAAATTGTAGTCATACATATAGAGTTTCTTCAGTGCTTGATGACGCTTGATTATATCACAGAGTGAATTAACACTCAAATCAGTTATCAACTTGTTTGATGAAAGATATAGTTCTTTGAGAGTGACGTTATCATTCTCAAGTACCTTGGCCAATAATCGAACTCCTCGATCACTTATATCATTTCCAGTTAGCCATAACTGAGTCAATGTTCGATTTGTCTTAAGCATTTTGACAAGATATTCCATTCCCGTATCAGTTATGCCATTCTGTGAAAGGCTAAGTTCTTTGAGAGTGTGATTATTAGTAGAGAGTATCTTGGCAAGATACTGGACTCCCATATCAGACACACAATTATGGAAAAGATTCAATGTTTCCAATGTGTTATTGTCGAGTAAAGCATCGGCAAGAATCGAGGCACCGACTGATGTAATCTTGTTTCCTCCTAAATCAAACAATATGCATTGTTTGTTGATGATGGCCTGTTTGACCACCATCTCTATGTCTTCATCATCCAATTGTTTGGAGCACAAATCTATTTTGGAACGAGGTTGACATTGTGCGATCAATTGCTTGAGTTGTGTTTGGTTTTTATTTTCGTTGAGTTCTGAAAGAAGAAAAATGAGAGGAATTAAACGTCTTTCCTCGTATGAAGACTGATTAATTGAAAACATTTTTGAGAAGTGAATCTGTGAGAAGAAAGTAGAGTCAATTTAGTATCTAATTATATTAAATTGATGAGAAAAGTTTTTGCCAATTTTGAGTCTCAGAGAATAGAAGAAATACCCCTTCGATGAGAGATATTGATCTCACATTTGAATGTTACATACCGATTCTCTTATGATTTTTTTGTGCTGTTTCCAAGTTTCAAAGCGATTCGAACAAATGATGAGCTAGTAGTAGTCATCTCATATATTCGTGATTCAAGATGTTTTCCTACTTATGAATGAATTTTAATATGTTTGCTAACTCTGAAAGGGTTTTCAAAAATATCGAAAGAAGAATATCGATGATTTTCTCATATGAAAATAGTTCATGTCTGGTTATGGTTCAACAGCTTATTTTCGACAATCATCTAAGTTTTGTCAAATGAGATCTAATTAAATGTATCGTAATTGAAGAAATATTTGTTTTACTTACTAGATAATGCTGCATTCGAATGAACAGCAAGTGTCACTGGTTGTATTAATGGTATGGGTGACTCAATTTCTTTCAGTTGAATCACTTTAAGAGCAGGGCCTTGATCGAGACAACCAACAACTTTAAATTGGATAGCAGCAGGAAGAAGTATTTCATCTTCATTTGAAAAAAAGGAATGATTACGAATATCTTTGCCTGAATTGCATTCAATAGTAAACATCGTTCTTGTTTCTGTTTTACCCAGAAATAATTCAGATTGTAGTACATCAATTGAGATAGTACATGAGGAAAATCCCCACCATACAATTTTCTCACCTTTTCGATAGCGATCACTCAAATCTGTTTTAACGCCTCGATAGACAAATCGATGTTGAGATTGTAGACGTGAGAGTGCAGTTAGAATCAATTTGAGATAGAGGTACCATGGATCAAGATTTTGTCTATCTGCTGATCGAAGTGCGGCATTCAAAGCAAAATATAGACATTGTTCGAGTGGTTCCCATCCCATCGAGTAGAGCATAATCGAAGCTGACTCATCTTGTGTCAAACCATCTTCAGGTTTCTTGCATTTTTCTTTGGCCATATAAGCATAATCTTGTACTGCAGGTAGAATAGGAACGAGTGGTTGTACGGCTTCTTCAAGTGACATCAATGGCATTTGATCATAGCTATGAATTGGCGCGAGTATCTCTTGAGGTTCATTATCAATGTCCGAGATGCGGAGAATGCGTTGTGTAATTTCGTCTGTTGCCATGGCAAACACCGAAAATTCTTCGATATTTCTGAAAAGATGAAGAAACAATGTTTAAGCAAGACATTGAAAACTCAGTTGAAACCAGTGCTGCCACCTTTCGAAATTCGAAAAGCAGAAAAACAGCAGAAAATATGTTTATGGTATGAAAATAACAGGTAGCTCGTAATAAAAGAGGGTCCCAGTATTTTGTTAACATCTTAAAGCGTTATCTTATCGCTCACGCTTTATTTTTTTTATCAAAAGATTCACCATCTTCTTCTGCGCAAATTGCATATTTCGTTGTAAAAATGCTTATCTCCTTCTCTTTCGACATCACCACGATTTAAAAACAGCACTACACACAGCTCTCAGAATCTCTATTTTTTTCAATTTTTTCCAAAAACATCCAGTCCTTAGGTTAGTTTTATTATGATTGGTCGTGCCATATTCTTTATCCAGAAATAAAATAAATTGCCTTTGGTACGTTGATTGAAATGAACCAATTTATCTCTTGAGTGGCGAACAAATTATACCCAAACGAACAGGATTAATTGAGAAACTGGACATTTTGGAAAAAAATTGAAAAAATGAAGACTTTGAAAGTTGTGTGTAATGCTTGTTTTAAATCATGATGATGTTGAAAGAGAGATAAGTGTTTTTTACAGCGAAATATACTAATTTCTGCAGAATCAGACGGTGAATCTTTTGATAAAAAAATAAAGCGTGAGCGATGAGATAAGGCTTAAGATGTTAACAAAATACTGAGACTCTTTTATTACGAGCTACCGTTAGTTTTAAATTTTAGCTTCAGTATACTAATCACTCGTATTTTATGGCATCACAAAACGTAACTAATTCACAAATAGACAGAATCATTGAACGTATTTTCTTTTTTAAGGAGTACCCTTCATCTGATTTAAGAGCTTTTGACAAATATTTTTTACCTAATGAATATTTATCCATTACAGTATGTGATAATGAGAAATTCAAATTAATTATTGATTAAATCATAGCATTTAAAATTTTATTGTTTCTTATTGTTCATAGGATTAGTAATATTATCTTTTTATTAGCAATGTTCGGAAAATTGTTGATGACGAACGATAAATGTTAGTTGAGACGAATCAAATTTATATTCTTTCAAAGATTATTAATATTCGACGACTTTTAACCGTTTTCTATTGAAGATAACTCTATTCAATTTCTATTTTCTGGTTTAGCTCCTTGTGACATAATTATTACTTCAGCAGCTACCATTACTTTGTGAATACCTTCTTTGCTAGTCGAGCTGCCATTAATATCTAGAGCTGTTTTTTCTATTTTTTTCCTCTCACTGATCATATTAATTATTCATGTTCATTGAGTAAACAAACGAAAGAATATATATGTTGATGTATATGAATTACATGAGTAACTAAAATGCTATAGAAAGCCATAGGTAAAGAAATGATTTAAAGCCAAATATGTAGGTTAGTAGTTGTTTGTAGTCAGTAGAAAATAAAAATCATCTGTATCAAATAGAACGAATTAGAATGGCACAAAAATATCAGTAGTCTTTAATACAGTTGTTTTTAATACTTATGGATACGAAGGTATTTCAGGTGAAAAACGTTGATTGAAATGATAAATAACGCCGTATCAAAAAAAGCAGAAACCACAGAAAAAAAACAGAAGAAACTTTAAAAAGCAGAAGAGGTGGCAGCTCTGGTTGAAACATCATTTGCATTTGTCAAAAATTGCAAGAAAACGAATTGATTTCATCATCGCTTTACAATTATTTTTCTCGAATTCAATAAAACTATTCAAACTTATTAAAATCGATGACAGTAATTTATTGATCATCTGTACTCACTTTTAACAATTGTATTTGATCAAGTGAATGCAGTTCTATTATGAAAACAACAAGAAGAAATACACGTGGAACGACAATCAGATGAAGAAGAAAATAATGAATTACGTGTTCTCACCTGTTAACACATATGCAACAAAAAGCAATACATTGATCAAATTTACTTTTCTCTTTTTCTCTTATTGAATACGCACAAGTTGCGACATTTGATGGCAACGTTGACATGGTATTGAATTGTGATTGTCAACACAATTTCTCTTTCGTGTAAACCTACATGTATTAATTGCAAAATGAGTACTTCTTTAATTGCTAGAATATACAAGTTCAATAAGGTCAAATGTAGTTGATTATTGAATACATCTTTGATATCTTCTCTCTATCCTTCGAATTGTCTATCTTACTGTAGTTCAATTATGATCGTATGTATTTAATAAAAAAAAAAACATAAAATTAATCATGAACAGTCATGTAGATTTGAACGACAATATGAGATCATTTTCAAGATAAATTTGTATCACAAGAGTCGGCAATCTCAGCATATGCTTCTATAAGATCTTCCGGTTTTTCAATGTCTGTTAGCTTGCCTTGCATTTTCTCATTTATTTGTTGGAGAACTTTCTTATTATAATTACCAAGACCCATTATCCAAAAATCAGTGATCATTGATTTGTAATCGGTAGATAAACGTTCTAATTCAGACGTTGGATAAACTTGAGGTTCTCCATCCGTTAGAAAGATGATTGTTTGTCGAAGACTATTGCATGTTGAATCATTCTTGATTCCGTCCAGCGTTTCGATAAGCATAGCAAATGCAACTGAAAAGTTAGTACCTTGACCACACATTGACATCGGTATATTAAGCCGATCCATATCAATGTGATTTAGTTTTTCTCGATTATAAATTCGTGTCGCACTATTACCAAAAACAATAATGGTCATTTGATCAGTATGACATACTTTTTGAATTCGAATGTGAATAAATTCTCTTACAGCTTTAAGCAAATGTTCCCATGGACTCAAATCTATTTGATGAGAATCATTCGTCGTAGTAGTCATGCTGCTCGGTATCAATAGACGAGATATCTGTTTAAAAATTGAATCATTCATAGAACCGGAATGATCGAGTAGAAGAATAAAATGATTGACTGGAATTCCATATATAGGTATAGGGCGTTTTTTGAGTTTCTCGAATTCTCGGATCACCAAAATCGCAATTCGTATGAGCATTTTTGAAATCTAACCATGTCTGTCGTCCATCTCTACTAGTAACAATAGGATCTTCATCTTTGATTATTTAACACCATACTGTCGATGCTTCATTGATTATTTCATATCGTACGCCATCCATACCTCGAATCTAATGACCAGATTGACATCAATGTCTATTCTCTTCTTGACCCACAGGCGTAGCATTGTCCAATCGATGATCAATATTACATAAACGCTTACAACAAGGACACTTTTCTTGACAGCCATGTACTTGAATAAGTTGTCGTTCTCGCGTATTACGGCAACTGTTTTCAATAAAAGTAGTCATGCAATTTGGTAGGGCTTGTTCCATGGTTGTTTTTTAATTGATGATTTTATCGAGAAAAAAGTCAATGTAAGTGATCGTATACGTTTCAAATATTGTCTTCATTGAACAAAATATATCTTTCAGTTGATCGCTTAATTTCGGTATATTATTGATAATTTCTTGTCCCTTCGATTGAACTATATAAGTCAAAGCATTTTTAATAGTTATCTGCGTCGAAATAGATTCACCTGAAAGATATTGATAAAGAAGTGTAGCCATACATAATTTCTTATCGAATAGATCATCGACAAAAGTCAATGAATTTCCACCTTTTAATCTCAATGCAATTTTGATTGCTTCTATGATGCGAAAGAATTCCATTACTATTTCTAAATGTGAATACATACTGATGTTTAGCCGTTGATGGATTATCATTTCGATTTTTTCCTATTGTTGGTCAAATCGTTCGATAATTACTTGCATTGGATAGAGAACATAGCGCAGAAGCCAATCATTTGTAGCTTCATACACTGCATCATCGAGTTCTTTCATAATAGAATATCGATCCAGTGTAAGTAGTTCATTTTCAATACATTTTCCAATAATGTCTTTTGTTTTCTGTTCAAATGACTGACGTAATATATCAGAAAACTCATTGACAAGATTAGTAGCAACATTTTCATCATCATTCTCTTGAATTACAACCATACGAAGAAAACGATGTTGCCATTTAGCCTTATTTTGACGTATTGACATGAGTATATTATTAAAATGGTTTTTATGTCGATAATAGTAGAATAGAGCAGTCGATAGTACAACACAAATATGTAGGATACTTTTTAAACTTTTTGATATAGAAAAATTGAATATATTTAATTCTTGATTCATATCTTGTATTAATTTATTGACTATTCCCAATATATCTTGTAGAAGAATAATTTCAGTTGAAGATTCATCATCATTAATTTTTAATTCAAAGATTTCGTTTATACGTTCAATTAATATTTCGAAACAATACGATACTCGAACAATTGTTTGCCATTTGTTATTAATTTCTTGAGAAAAATCTTGGCGTATACCCGGTCTAAACATACTTCTTGTTCGTATACTAGTATTTTTATCGCCGTAAAATATTGCTAGTAATAAATCATTGTTGAGAAATGTATACGGTTTCTGTAAATCAGAAAAACATATTGTGTAAACTTTATTTGTTGTATGCGGAACGAGAGGATTAATATTAGAAGCTTTCGATATAAATTCGGTAGAGATTTTTAATAAACTTTGATGAAGAAAATCACACTGATCGGACGTATCGAGTGTCATGAGAAAAGGTAAATAGACGAGAACATTATCGAATGATGGTAAAGCATCTTGATCAAATACATCATAGAGACGGCAAACTAAATCAATCGATTGTTTCCATTGAGTTTCTGAATCGAATTCTGCTCTAATACAAGCAAATCGATTTTTCCACATCCTCTCAAATTTATCAATTGCCGAAGCTTTATCAATAAAATGATTTCTGCCTGTTGTATCATAGGCAAGTTGTCGAAGTTCAGCATCACTATCATGTATCATTTTATTTAATTTGTCTCGTTCACCTGCCATGATAGCTGACACTTCCCATGAACGAAATCGACTTGTTACTTGTACTTGCATAAAACGATATAATCGTTGACGAACATTTTCACTTACTGCATTTTTTGCTATTTTTTGTTCAAGATTTGATTCAAGAATTTTTAAAATTTTATCTTGTTCAATTTGAAATGAATCTTGAATATGACTATTACTATTGTTTTTTTCTCTATTGATTAACAATTGAGCTTGTATTGGTGATAAATATTGTTCAAAATCATTTCGAATATCTTGTCGTATTTTATTGTTTTGTTCACGTTCAAAAATATCTTTGAAATAAGTTAAATCTGGATATTTTTTGATGATTTGAAGTACACTATTAGCAAATTCAATCCATTTTATTGGTATTGAAAAACGATCATCAGTATCACGAATTATTTGAAATGATGAATCAATAAAAAGTTTGCATAACTTTTGAACATTTGTAACAAATTTAATATCGGTTGATAATGCAGCACAGTCTCCATTCGGATCTAAAAATGGCTTTCGATTAAATGCTGTCGATAAAACATGAAAATTATTCGGTCCAAGATCAATTAAATTATTGAGACCATTTTCTATCAAATCATCTCGAATGATTTTTACTTGTTTCTCACAATTGGCTTTGTTCGGATCAGCTTTTTGATTAAGAACAAAATGAACTGTTGGTCGAGTTACACGAGTTTCTCCAAGATAATTGAGAGACTGTGTACATAGAATAAGCATCTGTTTCAATGTTTCATGAATTTCACCACTAATATTGATAATTACTAAATGTGATATAGCCAAACAAAAGAGAATCAAACGTTTATCATATTGTTCGTCACCTTTCTCGATAGACAATAAACCTTCGGTATCAATTAACAAAATATAATCGTAATCAGGTGGTATTAGATTATGCGTAACTTCTTTCGATCTAATTTTTACTAATGTTCCATAGACACCTACAATATTGAAATGTTTAAAATAATAATCAACAAATTCTCAATGGAAAATTTCTTCTACATAGTTAAACTATAGTAAAATAATCGTTAAAATTATGTAAACTTACCTCGAGTACATCGTCCTTCACGTACTTCAAATAAAGTACCAAATAAGAAATTAAGCAGTGTACTTTTACCACTATTCTGTGGTCCGATTATACTCATAATAAAAAATTTTTTGTTATGAAATAAATGCATTACTTTTATTAAAAATTCGCCTTGCATTTCGAAATTATCACCATCGACAATTTCAAAAGGATTTCCTTCATCAATATAATTGTAATATGCATCGATAAGTATTCTTTGTTCAGCATCTGATATATTTTTCGAACAAATCATAGCATTTCGCCAATGGATTTCAAGTGACAATTGTTGATAGAACGATGTCATATGATCTAGAACTATGTTCTTATCTCGTTCATGTTTCAATTCAATAGATAATAAATTCAAGTTATTCAATTGTTCTTCTTTGTTTTGAATGAATTGTTTGAAGAAAAATTGAAATGCTTGACCAGTTGCTTGAAAACTAGCTCGTTGCTGCTTTTCTAATTCTGCACTAAGTTGAAACAATGTGCTCTGAAGATCATAAAGCTTTTTATCTTGAAAATCGGCATTATACGGATCCATCTTGGCTATTTTGAGTCTTGTATCACACATACGAGTAAACAATGAATAGAGTGGATAATCCTCTTCTTTTCCATGAATAAGAACTGATCGAATAGATTCAATAAAAACTTTATCTTGATCAGCATTTCTCTGTTGAACGATATTCATAAGTTGTTCGAGATGTTTTTGGATATTGTGTTTGTTTGAATGAGAAAATTTGACAGCATTGTCAAAAATTTGTTCGCGTAACTGTTCAATTTTTTCTTTATTGATATAAGTATTCTTGTCAGCAACATTTGGCAAATGGAAGATCTGACAATTCGAACACATCGAACATACTCTTGTGATAGCTGTTTGAATTTCTTCATCGTTCTCATCGTCATGATCACGTATAAGCAATAGAATATAGCTTGGATGAGAAAGCACACGTAAAAATTCAATTACATCCGATATATTCGAGATGAAATACGTTGATTGAACATGAACGAGAAAACCATTGAATAATTGACAAATATGTTTGAAAGTTTCGATTGAAATATTACCATGAATATCAGCAACATTTACAGAACGTCGTTCAACAAAATGGTAGCCGAAATCAATATCGATTGTTTCATGAAAGTACGGACTATTCATTGACTCTTCAAAGTTCGTTTCGAACAAGGCATTAATAAGAGGAGTTTTACCTTTGCATTTACCTATGCCGAATGAGAGTAAAATAGGTCGACTTGAATCCCAGACATGAATGATACTCGATACAAAACGGTATCCATTGTTGGTAGGTGGTTGAATCATCGGTACTGGATTACGTTTGCTAAGAAGAAATGTTAAACGTCGACAAAGAAATCGATTTGAATTGATCATCATTACGTCGACTAACCACCGTTGACTAATACATGGAATATTATTTTCTTTCGAGAGTAAACTTTTTAGTGGTTCCAAAAAGTCAGATAGATTTTGTTCACGCTTGAGCAAATACATCATTGGTTGTATAGCGTCGAGAATAAGCAAATTCAGATTGTGATTAAATTCACCTTTGAACTTTTTTACAAGATCACTAGCGATATCTTTCATTTTTTTATCGGTATATTGAAGTTCGCCTGCATTGACAAGATCTTTCAATGAAAATTGAAATATGGCAAGATCATTACCATGATCAATTGTTTCATTTATCTGGTTTAATGCTATTGTTCCTTGATTAACTGAATAAAGAAAACGCAAGACTCACATTTATACTACATTTTATTTTAAAAATGTAAACAAGATTTTCTGCTTGTATTCTGAAAAATTCTGATTTCTCATAAGATCCACGCATATTTTATTGAATTCAGTTAAAATCT